CATTTGGTTGGATATAAATAATAAAGAATAGTGTATGGAAAGTGGTATATCCCTATGGACATTTTCTCACAGGACTGTAATTCTGCACCAAATCTCTTATGAATTGTGTCACTGCTGTACTTAAGGAGATAACAGCCATTAAACCTGAAGTATTGCCATCTATTGTTAGGTGGTTGTTCCTGTTTTGAGCTGTTATATCTTAATACCATAGATTTTCTTTTCTCTCAACCTTTCTTCTGTTTTACTGTCTAAATATGAAAATTAGAAGTGTATCTCCAGCTGGATGTCTGTATGAGTCCCAGTCATGACGCTTCTAGTATTTGTGAAAACACACTTGTTAGTCCAACATTTTCATTTCTCTCCCACCAAGATCTTTTTAATTGCTTTATTCTCTCTCCCCCACCAATGTAGAAAAGTAAATGTTATTATTCATGCTTATTACTTGTAAAGAACCTATTGTAAAGACTCATAAAGAATCATCATCTTCCTCCCTTTTTGCAAATATTTCAGATTTTTGCTTTACTTGTTTGTTGTTGTTGACCTTGCTCTTTTTGCAAAATTTTTTAGACAGTCAAACCTCAACTGAATTTCTCAGCGGGAATTTGCCTGTTCAATTTTATAGCTTATATTAAATGTGAGACTCCTAATTCTTACTGTTTCTGTTGTTCCTATAGCAACTAGATAGGGGGAGATGCAGCAGCATCACTTTGCTTCCCAGCTGGTGTTTGTGTTCTCAGCAAGGGGGGAGAATATGAAGAAAACAGAGTACTAATTAGGATGTAACTGGTAGAAAAGTATACTCCTTGCTGGGCCATCTCACCCTTTACTCTGGAGGAGTTAGTTAATGATTTTAAGCACAGATTCTCAAACTTTCTTTATTAAAATTCTGTCCTCTTCAATAGACACATAATATACTCTAAGTATGTGCCAGCTTTTAGTCTTTCAGCTGCTGCTTGGTTCTTGATGGTTCCTTCCAGCTAACACCCTGTTTTCTTCATCTAATGGCTAGCATTAGAATGTCAAGAACTAGACTGGTGCTTATGACTTACATATAGCCTGAACTTACATGAAATGTGGGACTTCTAAGTCCTGCTTTTTAATCTAATTTTTGCAGCTGTCCAGTAACTATAGTATACTAGACTGTAGTTTTATTGTCAGCTAAGTGACCATCTTGGAGTAAAATGTTTTGATATTTAAATGCTACGTTTTCAGCGGTTACTAAGGTAGAACTAACACGTTCTACCTTCTCCAAGAAGCAGAGGCTGTTTGAATTCTCCTTTAGTAGTCCTTTCTCTTCATGATGGAAACCTTCATAAGATATTTTCCTGAGGATCTCTGATGCCAAATTACTCCCTTTGAAGTAAACCAAAATCTTTCCTCCATACCTGAGCATATAACGTTCTGCTGCTCTTCCTTGGTGCCGCTTGTTTAGCCAAGCGCTATTGCTCTGTGAGGGTTGTGTTTCTCTCACCATGGTATGTGCCTTGTTAAGACTCTGGGGAGAGTTTTACAATATTCAAGCCATTATTACATAAAACTGTATTTGACCTATATTTTAAGCTTCTCTGAAGCTGTTTATTTTTATTAAATAAAAATTCATGGGCAGAGGAACTGGATATCATCTGTTGCATCTCAAGAAGATGGGTCTCATCAGGTTTAGCATATGTACATTGAAAAGCCTTTCTTAGCCAGAGCTGCTCTGATTAGCAAGAGGAACTCAAGAAAGTGCTGATTAGTAGATAATCAAGTAGTTAATTTGCTCATGTGGGAAATAAGAAGTTAAGGTGTAGGCTTCTTGTTACTTAAGGAGCAGGTTGGAACCAAGACTTCTCACCTTGCAGGAAGGTGCCACAATGCAGGATGTTATTGACACAGTGGGGATCCTGTAGGCATCAGGTTGCCATCCATGAAATCCATGCTGTCTTCATATTGTTGGTGGTGCCTCAGGAGAAGCCCTTGCTCTTTTAGAAATAAGTTTTTAATTGTTTCCCATGTTATTCCTTCCCTGTTTCCCTTGCCCTGCCCCTGACTTTCTCAGAGGGATTCACAAGAGCTAATGAACATGACATCTGCTAAGTTTATAAAGCAGTTTGTTTCTCTGCTGGCTGCCTAAGCAGGGTTTCGATCCTCAGTGGATTACGTATTAGAACAGATTTAAATTTTAGTCAGAACAGCATCTCTCCAAAACATTCTGGCTTTAAAAATACATAAATAGACAAGTCTCTTGCTTCCATAGATTCTAATCTAGTGTATTTCCTGTATTTATGGGACCAGTAAGTCTCCTAGGGCTTTGGGGAATCTTTCTGAGGCTGAGGGTGCTGGGGCTATTTAGTCTCAAGAAGAGAAGGCTTGTGTAGGGTCTTACCAATGTGTATGTGTGCCTAATGAGTGTGAGTAAAGAAAACAGAACCAGACTCCTTGCAGTGCTATCCCATGGCAGTAGATGTAGGAGGCACTAGATGTAAATACAGTGTATCAATAAACCTTTTTTACTGTGCGAGTGGTCAGATACTGGAAGTTTCAGAGGGAGGTTGTGAAGTCTCCATCTGTGGAGAAGTTTAAAATCCAGCTAGGCTCAGGCCTGAGCAGTCTGCTGTAATTAACCCTGCTTTGAGACTTGATCTCCAGAGGTCCTTTCCAACATGAAATATTCTGTGAATATTGTGGATTTTGTCAGCAGATAAAATAGTTGGGAGCCTTTTTTTCCATGAAGGAATTGCTGCTTGGAGAATGTTTTTGAATTGTCAGAGAGAAACTATGGCTTTTGCAAGATGTTTTGAAAATCCTTTCTGCTTAGATTTTAATTTTTATCTTAGTAAATCTTCTGGAACTATAATGTTTATTTCTTACAACTTCATTCTTTTATTAGAAACAACCTGACCTATACATCAGTGCAGTAATAACATTTTTATCATCATGCTTCGCTTGACAAATAAATGCATTTTTATAGTGCTTAAAATCCAATCCTGAATGTGAAGGTCTATTGAGGTATTTTTGATTCATAGAATCAGTAAGACTGAAAAATCCCTCTAAGATCAAGTCCAACCTCACACCATCATGTGTAGAACTAAACCATGCTCTCAAGTGCCAAATTCTCACTTTTTTAACACACCCAGGGATGGTGATTCCACCAGTTTCATGGGCAGCTTGTTCCAGTGACTGCAGCTGTAACTTTCCAGCCACTTTTCCCCAGCCTGCAGCACTGTATGGGATTGTTGTGACCCAAGGGCAGAACCCAACACTTTGCCCTGTTGAACCTCATACCATTGGCTTTGGCGTATCAATCCAGCAAGCTCATCATACTCTGAACCAAAGTTGCTAGGCAAAAGTTTAGGAAGAATTTAATCAAGAAAACAGGAGTTTTGCTCTCTTGGTTAGGACAATTGTATCCATATGATTCCTAACAGAGGTAAAATGTAGTGTGAACTTGCATTCATCTCTTGCTGCCTGGTTACTGAATATGCAGCAAGTGATTAGTCTGTTCTCCGGAATATTCAGTGCAGGGTAATACATAAATGTGCAACCAGAGTTCAACAATTGCCTTGAGGTGTTGATTTTATTATCATTAAATATTAGCTAAGAGCAAGCATCATCTTTCTCTCTTCTATACTTGCTGGTGAGTGTTTGCTCAAGGTCAATTGAAATAGTTTGTGTTTTCCAAGAGGGAAGTGCATATTGCCTCTTGAATGGTTCCAGTATATGTTGGGGAATTAAAAGTCAGCAATGGTGTTGAGAATTACAGATTTAAAAAAGGAGAATAAAAGAGGCATCTGGAAAGAGAGGCAGTGGTTGGAGCCAGGGAAGAAACAATATTAACACTGGGTGAGGGGTGGGAAGAGCAGCTTCCTGGGGGAAGAAGGAAGCATAGGTGTGAGGTAGAGTGCTTTTGTTTGTTTCTTTGTTTGCTTGCTTTTTCAAAAAAGCTAAAGATGTGTAATTTTGAGCTAAATTGGTAACTCTAGTTTGAGTGCCTCATTTCAGGTAAATAGCAGCAAGGAACTGAGAATTTAAGTGAGATTCTGACATCGGTTTTCTGGACATCTTTTCAGATTCTTGAACAAATCCTGCTTGAGCAAACCCCTCTGCAGACATTAAGGATTTAAATACAATTATTGTTTAGATGAGCATTCCAAAAATTCTGCTTTGAAGCTTTGTTACGCATCTCTTCATTCAAATCACTTAATGTTTTCAGTCTTGTTTACTTTTTTACAGCTGTTAATACAATAGGGCAAAAGCTTCCAAGGAATGACTATTGATGTCTGAGGGAACCTTGATCCTAATTGCAGAACAATTGCTGCGATGTCATGTGCAGATTTTATGTGGTGTTCACAAACAGCTGGTCGAAACAAATAGATTGCAAAAAATGCTTATAAAGGTTTTGTTCTACTTGTAAAGCTGCTGTCTGCACTGTCAAAAGCTTTTGGGTTGTAGCTGTGTGTGAATACTCCTGTTTCAAGAGAGTTCTCATAGCATGAAATCAACTTTGTGGGACAAAAAGTGCTTTTGCCCATGTGATTTTTATCATTTGTACACTAAAAACAAGCACAGCTCTAAAACTGTAGTTATATAGGATAAAAACAAAAGTGACTCTCAACCATGCACTTGCATACTGAGATTTGGCATCACTTTAAATAAGTTATACCAGCAAAAGTGGTTCTTGCTAGATTATTGATGTGTAGCATAAAAGTTAACCTAATACAAAACTTTCCTCTAGAAGAAAATCTCTCCAGTGGATATAATTATTCTAGTAACAATAGAAATGCACATTTAATTATGGATGGCATTTCTTACTGCGAAATGTCAAAGTATATTTCTATTTTCTAATTGTGAAATTGGTAACTAGAGATAAAAACTAAATGTCAGCAAGACAAAGGTAATTTTAGACTTCTAAGGATATTTCTAGAAATGTTTTCATTATAAAATAAATGTATGTAATGTTATTATTCTCAAAAATAATCATTAAAGGCTGATCAGCTAAAAATTCTTCTTTTGTTTTCCAGAAACCAGCAAACATTCTGGTAATGGGGGAAGGTCCTGAAAGAGGAAGAGTCAAAATAGGTAAACTTTTTGAGAAAATTTAATTGTGCAGCTAAGAGATTACTATAATAAAAAAATGTGTAAGATAGAAGCAGGTTCTGTGTAAGATAGAAACAGATCTTCATTATTTTTTTGAGTGTATGTATTTACAACCTCTAGTTAAATTTTAAATCTCATTCACTGAATTTACAGACTTAAGAAATTCTAAACATATTATTAGACATTTCTAAACTTGCCAAGGGTATTGGATAAGACATAAAAGCATTTGTATGAAACAAAAAAGCAATAAGCACAGAGAACATTGGTAATGACCAGGGTTCTTTTGATTTCTGTTATGATTAGTTAGCATTGTAACTTATAAATTGTGGAGTGTGGGTTTTTGGTGCTGTTTTGTTTGTTTGTTTTTGGTTGTTTGGTTTTTTTTTTTTTATTTTTTTTGGGGGGGTTGTTGTTGGTGTGGGTTTGGTTTTTTAAAAATACAAATAACATTATTGCACATGTTTGTAGAGATACAAAGGTTTGTTATGCAAAAGTTATTTGGTGCTAAGGTGAGTAACACATGTGGCTATGATGGTCTTTGTCCAAAATCTAATTACCTTCTCAGTTTTAGTGATGTGGATACTACCTTTTTTAAATAAATCATGTGGCAATACTCAAGTTTGTGTATAAAAGAGAAGTTTCAGATTTGAATTGGGTTTAAAATGTGTGTGTTTGACGGTACACCAAATTTTGTACTTTCCCATCTAGTATTTCTTACTGGTCCTCTTTCAGTTCTTAGTGTTACTTACCAGGCTCTCATTCTAAGGAGAATTTTTGGGTTCTATAGAATGAATGCTTAGTTTTAAAATACACCTCCACAACAGTGCATGTTGGCTGACTCTGGAGTTCTTCCCTCCAAATCATGTAGGAGGCGTGCCTTGAAAAATGATGCAAAGCCATCTACACTGTAGTCATTTTACTTTTGCACTTTGGGTAAATATATAGCAGTCACAGTTTTGTGAGCATGGACTCAGTTTTGTAAGCATGTGTAAAAGGAGAAAATGTACATTAAAAACCTACTACTGTTGACTTCAGTTAACCAAGTTTCTGTTACGCTTCTGAAAAATGAACAGGCATCTGTGTTATGTAAAGTTTTACAATACCATGATGAAAACACATCAGATGTTAGCCTTCATAGTCTTAGGAATGAAGTAAATGGAATTTAGCCTTAGAAAAATTTGGTCCAGTATTGTTGTAAGTAGTTTTTGTTTTGTTAGAAACTTTGATTTGTAATTTTTAATGTTTTTGAGCAGTTATTGTAATTGTTTTTGACAATACTGTTGAATTTTGATTTATTTGTATTAAAATTTAAATACTCATCTCATTTTTTCTCCTCATTCCCCAGCTGATATGGGTTTTGCAAGATTGTTTAACTCGCCTTTGAAGCCATTGGCAGACTTGGATCCAGTTGTGGTGACATTCTGGTACAGAGCTCCAGAGCTGTTACTTGGGGCCAGACATTATACAAAGGCCATTGGTGAGTTGTCCTGTAAGAAAGACATTTGCCTGCAAGTTCTGTAAGGATAGTAGCCTTATAATAGATAGGATGGTCAGCTGACCAGCTAGTTTTGGGGTTTTGTCATTGAAGTAGTAGCAGATGATCCCATCTATAAAAGATTAATCAAGATTAAAACTTCTTGAGGACCTTGCTTTTATTTTTCAGTATAACCTAGACATTTTAAATATCTAGTTTTTGTTTTTAAAACAAAAATATCCCCATAATTAGTTTATATGTTTTCTTAATATTGGCTTAGAAATCTTGTAATGTTGTAAACCTTCGGAAGGGAAATATCTATGGCATTCTTACAGGGTGTTACATGTCCAGATTCTTCTATGAAATGTGTGGCTTGATAAGCAGAAAGCTGGACTCCTGTGCTATGCATAACCTGCAAATCATTTGCTCCTGATGCCTTACGAAGCTCCATGTTCAGGAAATTCTGGTAGCCAGGCTCTTTCCACTCTAGTAAGTTCCAGAAGCACAATCAGCCTCGGTGCCCAGCTGTTTGGAGAATTAAAGCAGTGAGGTGCATGGGAGGTATCCTGGCTGCATGGTTGGCTCATATATTGAACTGCAAAGAAAACAGTGACCCTCTGTTAATAGTGTTAAGTCATTCCTATGAGTACAGAGGTGACTTTCTTGGCAGGCATTTTTCTGTTGCAGAAGTGTTTGGAGATACTCTGTGGGCCTTTGTTTGGAGAGTTAAAAAGTACTATGTTGTACTGGCATCTCAGTTTGAGTATTCTCTTGGGTGAACCAACACTTTTAAGGACTCACTGTGTTGGTTTTTTTTTTCAAATAACTCCTGTTTATTCAGCTGCCATATACAGCAAGAGATCTGGAGAATGAATGGACACATGACTTTTTGAGGTAGACTTCCATTTCCCGTTTCTTTATTGCTTTCCGCTGCCATTTGGAATCTTCCAGTGCAGGAGTTTACTTTGTGGACTGTAGGAGAACTCTGCAGCAAAAACTGAAGTACCAGAAGTGAGGAAAACCAGATCCATTTCAAAACCAAAAACCTGGTCCAAAATAAAATACTAATTGCAGACAGATTGAGTCAGGTCAAAAGGGACCCTGGGAGGCTTCTTGTTCATCTTCCTGTTCAAACCAGTGCCTGGTTTGAATTCTGCCTGGTCTGATAAGGGGTTTGTCTAACTTGAAAACCTCTAAGAACAAAGATTTCACACTCTGGTTAACATGTTCCACTGCAAAATCATCCTTGTAGCAAATAATTTTCTTTTTATACCTAGTTACAACTTTTCGTTTTGGTTTATGCCAATAATCTCTTGCTCTCCTGTTGTATGCCATTGTAAGAGCCTAGCTCCATCATCATGGTTACCTCTGGTTAGGTATTGGGGGGGCTGCTCATAGATTCCTCTTCAGTCTGAACAAGCACATGTCCCTTGGTAGCCTCTCCTGGAGCAGGTTCTCCAGCTTCTGACCATGCTGGTTACCTCTGCTTCTTGCCTTTGTTTCTCCACCGTTTCATGGTTGTTACAGCTAAGGCTGCCAATGATTATCATATCCCAAACCAGTTCTTCCTTCTTCCTCAGCAGCAGATCTGAGGAATGACACATATAGTTTACTGCCCAGTCTACTAGAAATCTTTTCAGCATCCCTGAAGTGACCCTGTTTGTGTTCTGTTTGTTCTCCATGATGTCCCATGGTCTGCTCACTTTCTCCCACAGCTACTTGTGCTCATGTGCCAGTGCCCGAACCAGGGTGTCTCTCAGTGTGAGGCCAGTGTCACCCTGCAGACTGACTCCTGCATGGTTCCCTCCCTCTGGAGCTCTGCCTCAGCTGAGACAGAGGCATCCCAGGGGATCTGCTCCAGCGGGAGCTGGGGATGGAGCCTTGTGATGCCCCTGTTACCTGCAGGGTTCTGGCACAATCCCATGGTGGCAGGAGCAGACTCTTAGGGCCTGCTTCGCATCTGCCACTATGCAGACTGGGCTGCTAACTACCAAGCTGGTGTTTGCTGAAGTGTTTTAAAGAAAATACCAATGGAATTGCCTCAAATATATTAGATAAATTAACATAAATTAGATGCTTAAATTACCCTGTGTTCATAGTGGAAAACACTGATGTGAATGGACCAGATTGCTGAGTGACTTGTGTGTGTGTGGTACAGGGAAGTTACCTCAACTGACAGCTACCTGGTTTTGATAGATGACATATTGTTTGGAGATTTGGGTGAGTGATATGCACCACTATCTCAGGGTATCTCTTTGAAGGATGAATTAGTATAATGCTGTTGTTTGTTTAATTATGTCATAAATAACTTGGGTCTTGCCCTGAGGGATCTCTAGTCTATACTGAAATACAGAAAAGAAGTTCCTGTGAAACTTCAGAAGACAGTGGTACTTTGGAGAGATCTGGTTTTGCTAGTAGTTTATTATTTCTGGGGCTTTCATTTCTTGTATCACACCAGTGAGTCACCCAGGTGACCCAGGGGTGTGAATGGTTACATAGTAGTACCTTACATAGTAGTACCTAGCATGCAGTGTGTGTGCTGAGGGCACTCAACACAGTTTGGGCAGCAAAATAAGACATATGGAAATGAAAACAAGGAAAGTTGCAAGTTGAGATTTGTAGGCTGACTGAAGGATTAGAGGAGCATGTCATTGAAGAGAAAAGAAAAAAAGTGCATGGAACTGAACTATGTGCAGCTTTAAAGCAAAGGGAAGAAGTGAGTTACAAAATGACAGTAGTGGTGATGTTCATGCAATTGAGTCCAGACTTGTGTTTTGCTTCTAGCACTATGAGCACTTAAAAAAAGGCCATTTTCATGAGCTAAGAAGCATGCTAGTTAGTTTAATTCGAATGCTGATGTTTTTGGCAACAGATGCAACTCTTAAAACTTTCTCTTAAATCTCTGTGCAAGAAATACAACTTTAATATCTCTTAATATTACATAATTCTCAGGAAGTCTAATGTATTGCTTTTAGTAATAACTCAGAAATTAAGATTCTCATTTAATTGCTCTTGAGTTGGAAACAATAATTTAAAAGAAAGGTGATTAGATAGAGCAAATTATGAAAAAAACCCAGTTTATTTAGTATAGCTACTTGTTTTCCATAGCTATTTTCCTGTGTCTTTTGAATAATACATAATTTTTATTGATAAGTAAATACAAATAAGATAAGGCTAAAATCAGAGTTTTTTCTTTCAGTTTTGTCATAGTAAGAAATATTTTTGTTTGAATGTACTAGGAAATCATTGTCATAATTTCTCTTCTGCAATGTCCTAACATTGTCCAACAGTTGCTACATGATTCAGATGTTTGCTTAGTTTTTTACTGAATTTGTTTTGATTTTACTTTAAATGTATTTTTTGTGTTCTATGTGTAATACTCTCCCTTATCTTTGTTTCACATATAATTTAATTATTAGCAGTTTATTCAAAGTATCCTAGACACTGTCTACTATAATGTATAAGTTGGTTTTATTCTTGTAATAGTGCATTTAGGTGTGCTTTCTTACATGTACATAATTCTCATATGATCAAAGAATGAAATTAGAAGTCGACTTTTGACTTGTTTGGGATTTTTGTCTTTGAATTCTGGACCTGATCTTAGTTACATTTTGTGGGTTTAACTTTGAGGGAAAATTGGAGTAAATACAATGTTTAGAAACTGCTATATATTACACAAAGCAGTACGTAAACATATTTCATTATTTTAGGAGTGATTTTTCAGTGATATTTTTCCTTTATTTAGTTTGTCTCTTCACACTAATTGAATATTCTACTTTCATTTTCTTGCAGAACAGATAGTTGGTCATCATATATGTAACATCATGTTTTAAAGAGATGTAGCAATCAGGAAAATACTATTGCTGAAAAACAGAAATAGCTTTTGCTTTCTGCATGTTAAAAAGGTAATAAAAAGGTTAGGGTTTTGTGGAGAGTAATATTTCATTTCCTGAATTATGAATGTTTGTAATCTAAGCCCTATTTGTTAATAGAAGTTTCACATATAATATCTGCTGCCATAGTTACAAGTAACTAACTTACCAAATGAATGCAAAAATGGAAAATGGTGTTGTAGAAACTGCAGTTCATTCTCTATTCCATTACCACAATATGAATTTGTACTAAATTCACTATAGCCTGTGAAGGCTTTCTGCATTTTCAGCATCAAAATTCAAAAATAGAATGTGTTTCTGTGTTCATCAGGTCTTAATACTTTAGCAAAGACATAAAACCTGTAAATAAAAGCAATTTAAACAAGCTTCAGGTGAAGCCAAGTTGCAAAAATGCAAATTGTTTGCCATCATGGAAACTTCAATAAAATTACTGAACAACTAGAAAGTCCAGCACAACAGAAAATGCCTTTATGCCTAAAATACTTAAGAAACAGGGTTGATGAAATAAGTGGCAAGTTATAGTGCTCTTTTCATGTATGGGCAAAGACTTCTGCTGTTTAATTTTAGGGAAACTAAAGGAAATGACTGTGGTAAAATGAAGGAAACATTAAGCTGACTTTGAGCTTGAAAGGATACATTAAGCAGAGTGTTTTTTTCACTCTGAGAACATCAGATTAGAAAAGAATGTTTTAGTAGGTAAAGCAAATAGTAAGAACTCTTTCATCATAGTTTTTTAAGAAAGCAAGTGGCAGTCTCCAGTGTGATTCATTCTGGGCCATCTTGTAGCATATCAAGGTAATAACATAATTATGACTTGTTTTTATCAAGCTGCAGCTTGTATAGTTATCAGTGCTATCAAACAGGCATGTTATCTTACCTCTCTTTACTACTTGCCTTAATTAAAGCAATAGCATATTTGATAAATGGCATCAGATGGCTTCTTGTATTTAAGATGGTTTGGATTTTGTTGACAAAAAAATTCTTCAAAGGGGTCATTCAGCCACCCATTAAGCAAGGCTAAAACACAGTCCTGAACAAAAGAAAGATGGGCTTGTTTAAAGTGAAAAAATAAATCTGGAAACCTGAGAAATCTCCATTTCTTTTTGCACT